CTTACGCTAGTCGGTCTTTAAAAAAAAATATATTAATTTTGTAAAAATATTATTTAGTTTAATAACCAGGATCTTAAAAAAAAATGTATCCCCTTACACAAGTTTAGTTGGTATTTAGACAAAAATCAAATATAATGACACAAATTCAGATATGTGATATCTTATTCATTTATAAAAGTTGAAATCCAATTATGTGTGTGTTTCAAGAATTAAAAGTATAATTTTGAGAATATTATTTTTAATATATTATGTTTGGGAATTTTATTTTTGTCTGCGTGTTTGGGGGTGTTTGTTTCAAAGATAAGAAATATATTTTCGGGAATGTGACGTGGAAAATGCAATAGTCTTATATTTGTTTTAAGTTTTTTTAAAATTATTCTCTGATATTTTTTATTTCTAGGAATATTTGTACACATGATTTTTTGGAGTGTTTGTTTCAAGATTACAAAAATTATTTCTGGGAGTGTGACAATGAGAATGCAATATTCTCATGTTTGATTTAAGTTTTAAAAAATCATTTCAAATTTTTTTTTATTCTAAACAATATTATTTACTCGTGGATTCTCTTTTCTTATTCCAATGTATAAAAGGTGAGAATAAAATATTTCCATGTGAATAAATTCAACTAACTCTAACTTTTTACCATCACTCCTATTTATTTTTATTTTTATTTTTTTATAATTTAAAATTAAACAAATTTTATAATTATTTTTAAGAACCTAAATTCTTATCAAAAACATGGATTGAAATAATATTTCCAAGAATAATAATCCTAGGAATATCATTCTAAGGAATAAAATTTTCAACCATGAAACAAAACACACCCTTAAAGTTATTCTCATATCTAAAAGGGTGAGAATCCAACATTTCTATGGAAATAAAATACAACTAACTACAACTTCCCACGAATACTAATATTTATATTTATTTTTTATTTTTTATAATTTTTAATTAAATAAAATATGTAAACATTCTTGAGAAACTTTATTTTTAACCAAACACATGGAAGGAAATATGATTCCAAGGAATAATAACATTAGGAATATGATTCCAAGAAATGTTATTTTATAACTTAAAATAAACACACTTTGATAAAAAAAATAATTTTTAAAAATATTTACAAAATATATTTAATTTAAAATATAAAATATAATATAAATTAATTAAAATATTTAAAAATGAGAAGTTATGGATGATTACTTCTTATTTCCATAGGAATGTAAGATTCTCACCCTATAACATGAGAATAAAATTTTGTATAAAATGAATTCCTAAAAATGAAAAGTTTCTAGATATAATTTTGAAAAACTTAAAACAAACATTATAATGAAAAATATTCAAGTCTATATTTCTGAGAATAAATTTACGATCCACGAAATATACACTCCATTAGTCACTAAACTATTAGACAAAAGAAATTATTATTTTTTAAATGAATAATATTTATGTATTATTATTAGTATTTTATTAAATTTTATACTTTTAATTAATTTATAAATTAGTTTACATTTTCGATAATTTATACTTATTAATCTATATTGCATTTTTTTATATTTAAATTTGCAATCATAAATTAGAATTGAAATAGGATATTATATGGGTTGATTTTCTAAAAGTTTATGTTAAATATCAAAATAAAGTTAAATTTTGTTGATTTATTTAAATATAAATCAATCAACTTATTTGAATAAATGTTTTAAAAATCATATTAAAGCGTATGACTAAATCTAAAATATGTCTCACTTGAAGATCTACTTGTAATAGTTAATCTTCAACTTGTCCTCGTTCATTTGATCTCTCAAGAAGTATTATTTTTTAGATGTAGTTTTTTGGGATTTTAATTATTGATTTAAATCATTTATTCACTCAACTTTAATCAAATCATTTGCTCTTGACTCAAATCAAATGAATATGTTATTATAATATTTAAAAAATTAAAAATATATTAATAATGAATATTTATTTATTATTATATTTAAAAAACATTATTCTAAAAATATTAAAGATTTCTCTATTTCTTTTAAATGTTTTTTAAAACCTCCTTTCTTATTATTTCTATCTAACTTGGAAGCAAAGCATAAGGTTGTTATAGTTTTACCTATATATCATATTGACAAAGATAATATAGCATATTGGTGTCACGTTTTCCTCTTATTTGTTTTTACTTCCACATTCAAGGCTTGGCATCCTGTACCATTCTTCATTTAATAGCCATCAAGTCTCATTTTTGAAGCAAACCATTTGTCAGTAACTATCTAATAATCAAGAGACTATGTCTACAGTAATGAAAGAAGAAGTGTTGCTCTCAAGTGATGAAGATAGCTATGATAGAGCCAAAGAAGTTAAAGAGTTTGATGAAACAAAAGCAGGAGTGAAAGGACTAACAGACTCAGGTATTATCAACCTTCCAAGATTCTTGATCCATCCGCAAGAGACTCTTCCAAACCACGATGCAACAAGATGTTCATGCTTACTTCAAGTCCCTGTGATAGATTTCACAGGACATGAAGAGTGTAGAAGGTTAGAGATAATAGGTGAGATTAAGAGAGCATCAGAGACATGGGGTTTCTTCCAAATGGTGAACCATGGTGTTCCGGATTATGTTATGGATGATATGTTGAAGGTTGTAAAAGAGTTTCATGAGCAAGGTGAGGAAGTGAAGAAAGAGTGGTACTCACGTGATCATAAGATGAAAGTTAGGTACTTTTGTAACGGTGATCTTCTTGTTGCTAAAGCAGCTAATTGGAGGGATACTATATTGTTTGATTTTCAAGATGGTCCTCTTGATCAACAAGCATATCCTCTAGTCTGCAGGTAAGAACCATCTTATTATATTGCTATTATTCTATGCAGTTGCTTTTGAAGGTGCGAAAGGTGGAACCCAAATCCCCTGCATAACCGTCTATTAAAGAACCAAATCGTCATCCTTTTTTGAATTTTTTAAATAAAATGCTTTAAACTAGTTTTAACATTTTTTATTTTCAGTTTTGATTTGATTTGATTTTAATCTTAATTTATTTGCCATTTAGTTCGATTTTAGACCTATTTGCATCACATGATTTGCCTCACTAATCAAACACACTGTTCAATTATTTAATTTAAATTCGATTTGGTTCGATAGTTCAGTTTTATTTAATAGTTTTTTTAACAATCCTAACTATGACACAAGACCTCAAAAATTTTATCGTTAAATTGTCATAGTTAAACCACGAGTAAATGAGCCTTCAAATTGTTTTATCGCGGTTGAACCGTAACTAATTTATACTTGACCTCCAAAAATTTATGTCGGATTAGGCATGACAACAAAACTCGTATCCGCGGGTACCCACTCGAATCTGTATTGAAATTGACGGGGAAAACCCGCTTTGACTGAGTTTGAGTTTGAGTTTTCCTCGATTATAAAATATGGGGATGGGTCGGGTGATGAGGACACTAGTATCCACCTCAAACCTGTCTCGTTTATATCATAATGTACATTATTATTTATTTTTGAAAATTTAAAATATTACACATGTGAACAATGTTTTGATAACTTGATTTGTATTTATTATTTAAAATATTTAAAATGTATGTATGAAGTTTTTTAAGATTGTTTTATTTTATTATTTATAATATAATTTGATTTTGAAAAAAATAAATATTTCTATTAAAAAAATGATTTTATTAAATGGATAATGGCGGGGCGAGGATATCCGAACCTAACTTGGACTCGTTTGAGACAGATTTGAGTTTTAATTTTCTATTTCCGATTGGATTTCGGGCAAGAAACGAGAATTATATGGTGATTTAAATTTGGATTTGAAAGAGGTAAAAATTATTTCCGACCCGCCTTATTGTCATGCCTATGCCAGACCTGACTGCTTGTGTTTTAGAATCAAATAGTTGAAAGTACTTTGGTTTTTTTTTCTTTCTTTCCAACAGGGAGGCAGTGAGCAAATACATGGAACATATTCTAAAACTAAAGGAAATATTATCAGAATTACTGCCAGAGGCATTGGGGTTAAAGAAGGACTATCTTGCAAATATAAAATGCATGAAAAGTGAAATAGTGGTGTGTCACTATTACCCTCCTTGTCCACAACCAGAATTAACATTTGGTACTACAAAGCATTCAGACCCATCATCCCTCACAATTCTCCTCCAAGACACCATTGGTGGACTCCAAGTTCTTCATCAAAATCAATGGATTGATATCACCCCAATTCATGGAGCATTAGTGGCAAACATAGGTGACTTCATGCAGGTTATAACTAACATTTTCATCACATTGTTTTATAAATCTTTTCTAGTTTAAAATGAGAATCTTTCATTTTTGTTTTGAACTTCTCATTTCTTGTGTAGCTTATCAGCAATGACAAGTTCAAAAGTGTTGAGCATAGAGTCCTTGCAAGAAGTGTTGGACCAAGGGCATCGGCGGCTTGCCACATGTACCCCGACGCGTCTCGAAAATATCGACCAATAGAGGAGTTCACGTCCAATGAAAATCCACCGAAATATAGAGAAACAAATATTACTGAATATCTCACTCACTTCAGATCCAAAGGACTTGATGGACATAAAACCCTCCCTTATTTTAGGCTATAACCTTGTTTCATTATGTAATACTTGTTTTTGAAATAACTCATTGTAATATTTTTAGCCTGTTTTGGTTCATTCTAAGAAATTTATCTTTTGTTAACACCCAAAATAACTGGTTCATGTTAAAAGTACTTTCCATAGTTTAGATATTGATATAATCTCAAAAAATGTACATTACATTGCATAAGCTTAAAACATTGAAACAGATTATTATTATAGTCTTAAACTCACTTAACACTTCGTAAACACAAAACAATATGGTTGAAACATAATAAGTATTTTTAATTTCAAACACTTTATACATATGGTAAAACATATACAATCCAACTTGAACACAAAAGACAGAATAATGGAGAATTCACACACTTATATCCTTCATGAAATTGGTATCAAAATGGAACTTTTCAAGAATGAAACATTTATCATGCACTCATTGTGTTCTTTGACTGCAATATTTGAACAAGGGGCCATAGGATATCCAATCTATGTAGATTTCTGTTGTTTTGTCCCTGCGACAGATGATTCGTGCCATTAATTCTATGTTATTACTACGGAAACAATAATGGTGCGATAAGCTAGTTTAACTAAGTAAGAAATGAATCTATCTTCTGATCCTACCTCGACCACAAAAGATATGCATGTCTTCTCACCACGAGTTTCAGTTACGCCATTCAAAATTTTCAGGCCCAAGCTTCTCATGGCTTCTGCTATCTCAAGAAAATGGCTGCACTCTTCACATAGCATCTGCAGCATGAGTCAAAATTAGCGCAAAGGATAAGTACGCGGTGTATAAGAGTGCGTGTATACAGGTTGCAATTTTAAATGCATACCTCAACAAGCATCTGTCCGTTCTTGCTAAGATTTTCTACTAATATTGAATGAACCTTCAGATGGCCTCCTACCTCCATTGCCCAACTTGAACCCTGTTGATAACCAGAGGATCCATGAATGTCTTTTTCCATGTGATCATGCAACTGCACAATTGCAGGCAATATTAAGAAAAGGAGATAATATAATATGCTATAATATCAAAGCTCCGACCTTACCTTTGTCTTTGTTTCAGAGAATTTATTTAGCTTATCGGCATGCTTAGTTATGCTTTGGAGAAAGAGCATATGCTTTATTGTGCACTCCAAAAGTGAATCAATACTGCACTGTTAAAAGTTAAAATAAAACTTTCAGCCACGCGAATCAGAACTACAAGTCGAGACAGCCATTACAAAACCAAAGTCAACCGAGAGAGGATTAGAAAATAAATATTAGCACAAGATAGATACCTTAGCTCCATTTGGCACCAGTTCTCGTAACTCCTTAATACGGTCTTGGATAAGTTGTCTGTCCCTTGGTCTAGGCCTACAACTCTCGCCAGGCCTAGCCCTCTTTTTGCTGTTTTTAGATGGTTCCGAAGACCTCTCAAACTGGTTACTACACGAACTAGGACATGCAGAAGAAAAGCTTTTGGGGGATATCACACCGCATATTCCTGATGAACTCAAACTACGATTATGCTTGTTCTCTTTAACATGAGATGGTTGATCAATTGAATAGCCTTCTGAATTAATAGGGCGGACATTATGAATAGGAACTTCGGGATTTCTTCCAAAGACCATTGCATCATGAACTGATGTAGAAAATGAAAACTCGTTATCAACAGTATTATTACTACGGCAAACTTTGGTCACCACTGCTTCCAAAAGATGCTCCGGACGTGATTCACAAGTCAACTGGCTGCAGCTAAACTCATCCGACATCTCAGCATCTTTACCATCTTGATTTCCCTGTACTGCCCAGTCAAAATATTTACTCTCTTTCAGAAAACCTGGTCCAAGTGCTTCGTGTAGCTCATAGCCAGCAGGAAATTTCAACGAGTACAAGATATCCTCGTAACAAGACTCGGTCTGAAATGTTGACATCTCAGTATCAGCTCTAACGTATGGACTTACTAAAACATTGGCACCAATACTATTATTATCCATAACTGAACTGTGTAAAACTGATGAGACATTTTTGTCTGATTTCAAACTAGTATCTTTGAAGCTATTATTGTTCCTTTCGTTTGAAGGTTTCACACCTTCTAGTTTCTGATTCTCTGCAGTCATCATATTTGACATTGACTGAAGCAAAATGGAACTTTGATCGCAGTTAATTTCAAGCCCTCCGTGCCTGGCATCAACAGTCATTTTCTGATAAACAGTAGGAGGTGAGTAGTTCTTCCCAGGACATTGGAAGGGCATTAACTTATCCGGTGTTTCACCCATCATTGTTTTCTCCGTGTCATGTTTCACACTTTGGACTTGACTAGGAAGATAACCAAATGTTTGATCACGAGTAGACAAAAAGAGACTTCTGGTATGAGTTACAAACTCGATGTCTTCACTAACCTGTAATCAAAGATGACAGAAAAGCAGTGAATCATAAAAGTTTTGCTAGGTGATGGACTTCTGCATAAAATTCGCTACATACACATGAAAGTATGAAATTATGGCGAAAAAAGGGACAAAGAGAAGACTATAGTCATCATACTTTATATAAAGAGCCGAGTTGAACAACTCCAAGTGGGACTACTGCTACAACAACAATTGTCTGCAATGTGAAACAAAGCTTTGTTAATGAAAAATCTGATTGCAAATAAATCATGTTCTACATGGGAATTCTATTATCTGGCTAAACATACAAAAATTCTCTCTAGCAGTTTATACCGAGGGTGTTTTTTGTAATATTAGCCATAAACTTACCCTGATTCCAGCAGAAAACTGAGATTGCCATTCATCAACAAGCTAAAATTAAAAGAAGAAAAGGGAATGGAATGAGAATAGTTGAGAGATAAGATAAATAAATATACATAATACTTCATACATATCTAATACCAATTACAGGCCTTCAAATCCTACTATGCATAGAGAAAATGCAAGTGGTGTCATTGAAGGAGAAAGACCCTCACCTTATAAGATGGGCCAGAACATGTAACTTGATTATCTGCAAAGATCCACTGATGCTTTCCATTAACAGCTACTTGTCCAACAATACTGTAGAAATATGAAATTTGGCTGTGTTATACAAAAGATAAATTTAGTCTTAAATTTCATCTAGGTTTATTAGTTTATTCATACCCTTCCCCTAAGGAATATACATGATATGACATCTTTACCACCGATAATCCTAGAGGGTTGTTTGAAAAGTTCTCGCCACAGATCTGATCCAGGTTTTTCTGGCAGTACATACTTTGCGAAGAATCACAATTATCGAGATTGTCATAGTAAGCATCCTCCCATGTCAAGATCCTGCAGGCAATCCACACTTAGAAAACATTTTAAGGGAAGACATGAAATTGAACCCATCAGTCTAAGTACATGTCAAAACCTAACACCTTAGCAAATGCAAGCCCTAACAAATTTTTGTTCAAGACTAGATATCTAGAGTGTGTGATGCAAGTCGCCTTACGGCGAGTGACCCAACAGTTCTCATATAGGCTCTGATATCGTCTTAAAATTTGGATTGGACATAACTCAATCCTATAAAACCAGGTTGTAAGGTGAGAAATGTCTCACTTATAAACCTATTTTCAAGTCATGTCATATCCAAGCTTTTAAAAAACGATCCACAATCGCGAAAACAGCCGCGACAAAACGGTATACCGTTTTTATGTTAAAGATCAAATTGTGGTTAATTCACACCACAAAAACCACAATCAGTGTTGCAACAACTGTACAGATCGAAATCGCAAAAACCTTTACGCGACCACTATTTAAAACCTTGATCCTATCCAACTTCTTAATAGTATTAGTAACATGCTGCACTCTGAATAAACATACATTTTATAATCCATCAAACAAGATGTTTGTAGAACAAACTAATTTTCCTTAAAACCAAATCAAATAACATATGGTCTAATCCAATCACCAAGAAACCGCTATAAACATGCAAACCAACAAACTTAGATGAAAAAAAAGAAAAAGATAGGAACAACATAAGCAAAGATACATGACACAAAAAAGCTGAAAGACAAAGACAAACAAGAAAATGGAAACACAAACCGTACATCCTAGCACAGTGTTGTAGCTTCCAAAAGATAGCATACTTCCAATCAGTATCCAAACAGAGACTTCTTAGTAGTTGATGTAAATTGGCACCCATCTTCTTCACCTTCTTCTTCCACAAAAACCAAAAATTTACCACCCTCTGAATAAAGGGTTGTTATTATTAATTACTCTCTCCCCCCACCACCCCAAAAAAAGAAACCAACAACAAAAACAGCAACAAAAAAACACTTCAACTCCCACACCACCACCTTTGCTTTAGCTTCCTCTATAAGACCCTCTTCCAGCTTGTTTCCTTCTCAACCCAGCTCGCCGTTTTAATGGCGGTCCAACCGTCGCTAATAACAATCTATCCCTACCCATCACTTCCTCCCACCCAACCTTCCAACCCCAATGCTTCAGAAGCTTCTAAAAGGATTCACAATTGCAAGAATAAACAGAACTAACAAAACTATCACAAGCATTGAAATTGCAAGTTTTCATGGGTTTTAAAAAAGACAGTTTTTTTAGCTTATATCTGAAGACATGGGTGAACCCAAATGAGAATTGTGAATGAAAGTATTTGGTGAGTAAAAGGGTTGTGTGTGTGTGTGAAAAAGGGAAAGAAAGCGCAAAGTTTAAGGCTTTATTTGGAAGTTAAAAGAGTGAAAACGTAAAATTTATGACCTTTGAGCTACATTTGTCAAGAAAAAGAAAAGAAAAAACTCTCTTGTGCTTTCGGCAATATAGTAGAGTGTGTGTATGTGTTTGACAGCGGTTGGAATTTTGGGAGAGAATGAGTGATTTTATATTGGAAATTTGGTAAGGCGCACTTTAGCATGAACGGTGTTGTTTAAACCAATTCTATAGAAAAATGTTATTGGAACTATTATGTTAAATTGAGAAAGGGTTAATACTATAGCTGATTTTTGGTTTACTTTCTGTAATATTTAATTTTTATTTTGTAATATTTAAATATTTAATTTAAATATTTTTAAATTTTTTAAAATTTTTGTTTTAAACCCTGTGAGACATGATTCGGTAAGATTCGTTTTATCAAAAAAATATTTTATAAAGTTTAAAACGAGTGATAAGGTTGATTTTAAAAATAAAATTTTTACAAAATTTAAAATGACATAATCTTTAAATAGTAAAATAAATTTTACAAAAATAAAATTATAGAGGATAAATCAGAAATCATACTATATAAAGATAAAATAGTAAATCCATTGGAAAATATTGATAATTTGAATATTTTGTCCTTACAAATTTTTTTTATAGTAGTTTAATGATTGTAATTTCAAAATTTTTACTGTAAATATGGGATAGTTTGTTTCATTTTTTTCAAATGATTTTTATAATATTATATATTTTTGTTATAAAAAATTTAAAAAAAAATCAGAAAAGTTTTGAATAAAAATTTTATTTGAATAATTATTCTTAAAATTTTATTTTAAATATATTATTATTTTATTGAAAAAAAATTAATTTAAAAAGAAAAACACTTAATTTTGAAGTTATTTCAAATAATTTTTTAACAAAAATTATTTGTGAGATACAATTTTCTAAAAAAATTACAATTTTGATTATGTTTTGATCTTCAATAATATATATTTATATTATAGGATATCAAAAATTAATTTTACTATTAAAAAAAAAGGATTTAAAATCACTTGTAATATTTTGAAAATTGTTTTTATAATTTTTTTAAAAATTATTGATTTATAAATATCAATAACAATTAATAACTTAGTTAGCCCACACACACCCCTTAAAAATCATTTTTAAAATTAAAAAGAAATAATATATTTTTTAAAAGTTAAAAGTAACTAGCTCTAAGGTCCGTTTGTTTTGTTTTTTCTTAAAATAATTTTTATAGTGTTATATAATTTTATGTAAAAAAAATTTATGAAAAACCTTTCATAAAAAATTCAAAAAAAAATTAATTTGAATAATTATTCTTAAAATGTTATTTTAGATATTCTATCATTTTATTAAAAAAAATAAATATCAAATTTTCAAATATTTCAAATAGTTTTTCATTAATTATTTTTGAGATATAATTTTTTGAAAAAAAATATAATTTTAACTACATTTTAATCTTCAATAATGTGTGTTTATGTTATAAAATATTTAAATTAATTTTTCAATTTAAAGTAACAAAAATTAAAAATTTATAATATTTTAAAAACAGTTTTATAAAATTTAATTTTAAAAATAAAAATAAAATTCTATTTTTGAAGTTAAAACAATAAGCCCTAAATGTAATATTGTAGATTTGAATTTTCAGTTTTGTAGTTGGAGAACTCTATTACTAACTTAATAAAAACCCTTGCAGTTGCACAATATTCATAAGTTGAATATTTTGTCTTAGCTACCAACTATGCTGCATATTCTCACAAATATTACTTTTATGAATAATGTGACAAGGTTGTTTTAAGAATTCATAAATGATTTTAAATAATAACTTGTTCATGAATAAAAATATTAAAAAAATTGAATATTATTTTAAAAAAATATTTGACATATAATTTAATTATATATATATATATATATATATATATATATATATATATATATATATATATATATATATATATATATATATATATATATATATATATATATATATATATATATATATATATATATATATATATATATATATATATATATATATATATATATATATATATATATATATATATATATATATATATATATATATATATATATATATATATATATATATATATATATATATATATATATATATATATATATATATATATATATATATATATATATATATATATAATTTCATGAAAATGAATATTCTCATTTTTAAATGAAAATAAATTATAAAAATTACTAAAAGTTATTTCATTTTCAAGAATATCTATATTGAATTTTTTTTATCTTGTATTATACATAACTATTTATTCCTAAATATATTATTTTTAAACTTGAAACAAACATTATATTAGACTACCACTCTTTAATACAAGAGAATAAAAAATAAAAAATTGTGTGTAAATAATATTTCTATACTTGGAATACTATTACAAACACACTTTTAGTTTATCAAAATATTAGTGTCAATTCTTTTAATCAAAATATAATTTCTCGTTAACAAAGGAGTCTTGAGAACATAAACTACTCACAAGAAAGACTCAATTCTTAGTCATCACATAATATGAGACATTGATGTTGTAGTTTTAATTAATTCAAAATTAGAAATCTTTGATTAATAGCTAATGTCTACTAACCATAGAGAATCTATTTCCCCACACTATGAAGGGTTAATTTTAATTTGAAGTTTACACGACTTTAACAAATAACGACCCTTCATAAGGACAAAGGGAATGAAATAATGAGAAAATGGAACAATCCAATTGAGTTATGAGTAGTGTCAACTAATATGGCCAACAACATCATATCATATAGTGGAAATGCATTCTTATCTTTTCAGCCCTCTAAATTTTTTCAATCCATTTTTGAAGTTTACTCACTCTTTAAGTCTTAAGGTCCTTGTCAACAATCATTTTACTGCCCTAAAGTTGCAACACTCACAATTTCTTATTTTTCATCACCTTTAAACTTTTTTCAACTATAGTACTACTGTGGTATTCATTATAAGCAGTATATTAACTAATTATAAATATTAAAAAAGTAATTAAGTGAAATTGTTTTATAATCTAATGAAAATTTGTATTATCGAAAATATTCTTATAAAATTAGTATTGAAATTAACAAATCAATTTGAGATGTTTAGATTAAAATTATCTAATCAATTAACAGATAAATAGTCAATTTAGTTCTTAAGTTATTAATTTTTTAATCAATTTAACTCTTAGACGACTAAAATCAATTACGAGGTTTATAAGTTATTCTTTCATTCAACTATTAAAAAATTTATATCATAAAATTAAATTTGATTTTTATTATAACTTATATATAATTAACAAGATATATATATATATATATAAATTTAGTTTTGTTGATTTTATAAGGATATAAAATAATTACCGGTAATAATTTCCGTCGGATAATATATGACTATCATGTTTCTGCTATCAAGATACTCACCATTTATTACTAGGGCTCAGACAATATATTTTGAGTTCATGTTATAACAAGCTTTTTTGGCTAGGTCTTAAAAAGTTTGAGACCTATCAGAGCTGACTCGTTTAGGATTGGGTAGCTCTTTTTGATAAATATACTTGAAAGAGACTGACCCATGTTGAATTTGGACCCATAAGGATGATAAGGGGCACAAAGAGGTTTTAGGTGATCCCACGTGGTGAGCACGTGAAACCTGATCTATACCGCTTTGCCTACGACATGGGTCACCCAAATCAATAGTGAATGATCCAATTGCAAACATACGAAGATGTGTCAAGCCATATCATAAGAGCTTAAATCGACATAATTGTAATTCCATGGAAGATAATTGTTTCTCCTACGAAAGGGGAAATGACTCAATCTTCGTATCTTCACGTTCCAGCTAAGCAATTGGGATTTGAACTGGTTCTTCATCCACAATTTGGTCCATGAATCATAGTTATAAATATCACAACCTTTAATGTTGGTAGAAATAGATTAAAGATTCATAGATTTGGTACTTAACAACTTTTTTGCTCTCTCATACGCAAGCATGATTTTCATCATTGTACTTATAGCAAATACAATTGGCGCTAATTTTGGATCCTGATAAAACTGATTCGGACCTCAAGTTCAATCCATCCAATACTGGTTTCCACCGCCTCTTCAGTAGCTGCCAATATCAACCACTCGTTCTTAACTTTCATCTAAGCCATTGACAAACTACTTGACTATTGGTTGATCCATTTAGGTGGGTGCATATAAAAACAACATCAACCTCTTCCTTAATAAATGTAGAAAATTAGAGCTCAAGTAATTTAAGACTTGGAAAAAATATTATAATCAATCCAAAGTATATATTCTCTATCAAAGATAAACCATATACTTATTATACAAAGGTTGTATGTAGTTGATTAGTCTAATGAAAATAATATGAAATATATGATAGTTTGATTTGTCTCTTCTTTATCTCTGTGTTTATTATAAAAGTGATCATACATTGGATTATTGGTT